CACCTACTGTTAAAACATCGCATAACAGGTTTGTTCTTTTCTCATTTAAATTTTAAACACCGGTAGAATTAGAGAAAACATATTGTATTTTTTCGAATATAATACTAATTCAGGATTCTTGAAAATTTGATTGAACAGCTGATAGTCACATAAGATTTTTCATTTTACTTAATGCATAACTCTCTTGTAGTACTACAGTTCGAGATAAAACTTTGATTATTTTATTAATTCATTGTAATCAACCACCATTAAAAAATGTCAGCAGGATATGAGTGTAGGTGTCTTACAATTGAATCATTCACATCTACACTCACATCCACATCCATCATCGAAGCCTCGTAATCCTGGAGGAAATTCATCACTATCAAAAGCTGTTCTAAGAAGTGGAACTATTAGATTGGTACATGATTTCTACACGTTTTTGTTTTTGCTTTTTAGGTGAATTTCAAGCTTTATTTCTCGCTATTGGAAATAGGTAGAGGTCTAACCTTCGACCAATATCTCTTTCAAATCATGATATATTAAGTCTCAAATTTGCCTAAAAAGCAAAAAAAAAAACGTACCGAACTTATGTGCCAATCTAATAGCTTAGAAATAGTAACCGGTAGATCAAAAGGTGCTCTTATTCAATAGAAATCGCTACTAAACTAGTTATTGATCTTTATGATATAAAGACTACTGAGATGAATTCAATTATTGAAAAAAACATTTCAATACATTCTGTTTTTTTTTCTTTCGTATTAAAATTCAATTTCGATATTAAGCAATAAAAATGTTCAAGAATGACCTCGAACTCATTGACCGGATAGTAGTACAATCTCAAATTCAGAAAACGAACTAAGAGAATCAATTCAATCACTATAATTTCGACAAGCTGCTATTGTAATCAGGTTTATTTTGGTAATAAATTTCTTTCCATTAGAATTGGAATTGATGCTTGCTTTTTATCATTTAGTGTTGCTTTACAATCATGCCAATTACGTCCAGTTTTGATTCAGTTTGGTTAATATGAAGAAGAAATAACTACTGCAAATGAAGATGATTTACAATCTTTTGCTCAAGCAATGAGAAAACATTATAAAAAACTAATGAAGAAAGCGCGAAAAAACCCTCGGATAATACAATGGATGGAAATCGATCAATGTAATACGAAAACTATCATGTTTTTCTTGATTTTTTTATATGATTTTGTAAGTCACTAAAGTTGGGTGTGGGTGTGAGGTGTGGGTGTTTGGCTGGAGAGTGTCTACTCTTAGCCCTTACACTTACACACGTGACTATATGAATTTAAATAGGAAACGAACACACAGCAATAAGGATTTGGGAATTAAGAATAGTCATGACATCAGACCTGAAGCTGAATTTGTGATATCAAATCCGAAAGAGTCTGGCAGAAAAATGTAAACGAAATGGTATTTGATGTCTGTGATAACTAGGAATATCATCGACCAAGCAACTATCATGAGATTGAGACAAACATTCCTTTGTCTTTATACATTTCAGAAAAAAGTCAACAAATTCATCGGATGAGCGTTACCTCAGTATTGATCAATTAATGATTCTGAATTGGAAAAGTGCCGATTCAAAAACATAATCAAGTCTCTGCAACTTACGAGAAATATCTGTTAAAGGAAAATATGTCATTTAATATTTCATAGAATTCTAACAACATGAATTTTAGGATGCTTCAAATAATAATCAAACAAAGGTCACATACAATAGTTTTTCCATAACTTTTATGGACTCTGAGACAAGACACTTTGCCAGCATAGAGATCGCGAGAATCAGTCTCGCTTACCTAGGAGTTCCACTCCCACTATATTACCTTCAATGTCAGTCCTTATTGCACTAATTACATAGAATTGATAATTAACATGAGAGGATGAAATTCAATTTTATAGGTTTCTTTGTACTGTAAAAAATATTTTGAACAAGAAAATGAAGCACGACTTTAGATTATACCCGAACCATATCTTAGAAAACTTCAACGGAAAGGCTCGGTCTATTTACAGAATGGTCGCTGCTAAAAATATTATACACAGTTTTTTTGTATAAGCATGTGTTTAGCGATAGCTTTTAAAACAGTTTTGAAGACAATGAGACATCGTGCTTCAATAGAATTCAGTCCAGAGTAAAGCGAGTCGTGATGATGAGCATTACTTGAAGTATTTCCAGCAGAAAAGTCAAACATGAATACGAATAATGAACTGTGATGAATTGTAAAAGAGGTATAAGAAATACATTGCCAAGACTGACTAAGATGGTTTTTGCTACTATAGAGAAAGTAAAACACAGGAGTCCTAATATCGCGTTCTAAATCGATTTATTTTATTGCAATAGACAAAATACGATTTATTTCCAATATCGATCTGTTATATTCATTTTAGTAATCGAATTCAATCGTCATCTTATGAATGGCACGGATGTCTCCTTCCCCAACATCGAAAAGGCTTCGGACTAAGTTTATTCGTGTGGCACGCTGAATCCAAAATTGACTCTCAAAGCTGGCTCTACGATTTTCGACTTCATCATCGTCCATCGAGTCAATCACAAGTTTTAAATGGCGGACATGAGGTAATGCATCTTTCAAAAGATTTTCCCAATACTGACCATCTTCTGCATCAACCCCTGATGTTTCGAGTTCGAGTATCTTCAGATTAGGACATTGTCGAAGGAAAAGAGTAAGTTCACTGAACATATTGAAGAAAATCTCGAGGATACACGAGCGCAAGTTAGGCAAATACGGAATAGAAGCATTGCCAAGTGAAACGCTCGTTTCAATCGATCGAAGATGAGGAAGATAACGAAGGAGAAGACCAAAGTGAATAAAGTTCAGTGGATTAGCCTGTATGTGTTGAAGAGCCCAAGGTGTATCAAGAGACCATCGTTGAATATCGATATTGGCCCAGCAAATCGGCTTTCCGCCGAGGGCAAATAAACGAAGCCGTTTGATTTGATGAAGATGATATAAAAGTTTCGAGTATGTGCCCGGATTTTCATTCTCGCTGGAGCTGATTGTCAAAGACTCGAGATTTACTAATGAAGACAGAACATCTACGATTTCTCCGAGATCGTTTTTAGTCAGTAGATCGAATGTTAATGACTTGATTTGTGTGAAGAAGACAAGCGGATAAGTATGGATGATCGAGTGAATTTGTTCTTCATTCGACTTATTTGATAACTTGAGTGAAACAACACATACGGGATCCACCAGATTCAACGTCTATTTGTAATTATTGTGCAGACCGATGAAATACATCAAAAGCTGACTCACCTGAAGGCACTCTTTCAGCGAAACTTCACGCAAATCAATGTACAATCCCATAGTAGAAAGAGCAATAGCTGTTAAACGTCTATTGAGCCCATAGAAAGCTTGATAAATATCGAAGCCATGGAGATACTCAAATATTTCTCGAATTAATTCGGCAGGCAGTATTTCGAATATCATTGTTTGTAGTCGTGTCTAAAACAATCCTTGAAAAATGCGCTAGAAAATCGTCTTTCGTGACACTCACCCTATATAAATTGTGTAATGCAATTTATACTGTTTTGTAATCTTTCTCAAAGAAGACGAATGTCATTTAGTTTCGTCATAGCGCCACTTTATTTCACCATTCTTGGTGTCAAAGATGCAACATCAATAATACGAAATACTAGCTATGACAATATGAAGATTTTTTTCTTTCCTTATCTCTGCAATTGATGTTGAAGAAGAAGAAAATATGTTTGCAATCTACAGATTTGTTGTATCATAATGCATTTTTCAGCAAGTTACTCGGGTTTATGATGTCCAGAGCGTATTTCAAAGAGACAAGTGCTACATCTCTTCTGATTAACAACTATCGATGAGAGTTGCACCTGATAAGAATCTTCCTGGTCCTGGTTTCGTAATCTACTGAAAGAGTACATTTTTCGACAACAAATCTGAACAAATGACAAAAGTGCTTTAACAACGACAACGGCAAATTTTCCTGTTGTAGTTCTGTTCATGAAACAAACTTGTCTTACGCTAGTTTCACAAATCTTCAGCCACTGTTATAGATAAGATATAGGTATTCCATTAGGATTCTACCGCATATATGTCAATTATTTTCAAATTGCATGAAGTCTTCAGCGTTTACAGAGCTATTAATTCTGAGCATTTTGATAAAAAGTTTCTCGAAGCGTTTATTTTGATGGAAATAGACTCAAACAACTTGAAGCACTGAAAAAATCCAAAGACCCTTCAAAAACGTTATTTTTTTGAATAAGTTTGACAACTAGTTTTTGATAGCGTATTTTCATAGGAGAAAACGACATATTCCCTAAAGTAGACGAACTACGACAGTAGAGTGTAACTATATGGCAACACAGCAGAAATAGGTGTAAAACACCAGTTCATCGTTATTTTCTTAGGTTTACGTCTATATTTCTTTTAATTATAAAAATTGTACACATGGATGTGCCAATGAACGAGACACACATACTACGTATAAGGTTGGGATGAATGTGGCTGTGGTTGGCGGTTAATGATATAAAGATCCATATCTACACTCTTACTACATCAATAGCGTCCAAAAGAACGTTATGAGAGTCTTTCAGAGCATTACTTTCTGCGAAATCGGTTATTAAAAGGAGTCGAGTTTTGGAGGGTGAATGTAGTTGTGATGTCTGTCTTCGTTCTCACGTTTGTCCTTACCCACACCCTCAAATCATAATTTTTTTCTAGAATTTCTAATTAAATAGAATCCCATACGATGATTCTAAAGACATTCAAAAGATTTCATTTTAATGTAAAAAGTAAAACATAGAATTTCCGAAAATCGATTAACGTGAACAACATCTCTGTCGTTATGGAATAATCATTAAGATTCCTGTTAAGAAAAATGAACTTTTTATTAGAACAAATATATATCTACAACATAATATTCAATGAAAAAAAAAGGTTCTTTTTAACCACATGGTTGTTTATATTCATCTGCACATTTTAAGTATTGTTCAGCTTGTTCACATAATGCAGTTTATAAATTATTCCATAATCGTTCTAAAAGATCATCTTCGTGATCAAATATCATTAGTTTATCCCGATAATCCATAGCCCATTCTGCATAATTGCTAACAAACCCACAAAAAAGAAAGATTTGTACAAGATGTGAAAATTCATAGATCTCTGGAACGATTTCTTTAGCAAGTGAACCCGACACAATAAGATAAATGAATTCATTTGAATGAGATCTGATGTATTCAAGACAACGATCTACATTGGTGAATGTTTGAGCGTCGACTAGTTTATTACGACAGCTACTCTTTGGGTCTGACGAATTTGCATCAAGCCAAATAATGCTATACTGTGACATGATTGCTTACTCTGCTTTGATTATTTGATTTTGATCGCTAATGTTTGATTGAAGAGAACATGTTTTATGTGTCAAGTTTCTCATACATATATACATCTCTAATATAAATAAATACTGCTCGGACTCTTCCTTACATACTCAATTCATAAAAGTATAAATTTCCTTTGTGACTGTACACTCTAGAATAGAAAATACCTTCAACTATTACCAATGACTCGGTTGTCTGCATAAAGAATGAAAAAAAAGTTTTTATTTTTCTTTCTTTCACACGTATGTGACGGGACTTTTTTTCGAAACTTACAAAGAATGGAAATGGGCAAAATAAACATGAGTCATTATAACTCAAGGGGGAAAAAACTGGATCGCCGGATTGTGGGATTGTCTGGATTCCCGTTGTATCCGCTGGATTGTCACTGTATCGCCGATACAAGAATCTCGTAGAAATATGAAAGATAAAACGTGCAACTGTGTATTCATGAATCTGCTTCTCCTCTTGGATGAAAAGGAATGATGTGAGAAATACTGAGTACAACACTGAAGTTCGGTTATGTCATTCGATAAGTTAGTCCTTATGTGACATGATGGGACTTGCCTTCAATGAACATTGTTAAACTTTTCTGATTTTAAATGAGTTTTAGAAGTAAGAGTTTCAAGATTTTTTATGTAAATTCTTTGAAAACATACTGTTCAGTTCCAAAAGTGCTGAAATATTGCTGAGAATGCTATCTAAAAGCCACATGTTTTGGTCTTGTATTCTACATTGTTTCTAGCGACAACACATTTGTTTGCCTTCAGCTGCTTAGTATGTGTACGTTTGAACTTAATATAGTAATTGGAAATAATGAGTTTGAATGAGTACACTATCAATGAGTTCATTGGTACGACAAGATGAGATTCTCAGCAAAATGAACATTTGCAGTATTATGAGTATAGATCTTTTATTAGCAAACCTTGCTAGAATGCAGTCATTTTGACAGTAGTAAAATCTCATGAAGACTTATTCTCAAAGAAAATCACCACTCTGAATTGTTTCAATCGCGCTCATTAGATCTTTGACAAAATCAAGATTTTGACTGAAATCACAATATTTTCAAGAAGCAATATCACAAAATAACCGATCACTTGAAGTTCTATTAGTGTGATTTTGAAGCACATACTGAACATGAAGTGAAGAACTGCTACAAACATTATGATTTGAACTAATCACATTGTATTTATTTATTGATATGTCGATAATATTCTTTTATCATCATCAGAATAAATACTTGAGGGTGTGGGTGTGGGTGTGGGCGGGTGTGAGGTGTGGGGGTAGGGTGTGGATGAAGTTTAAAATAAAATCCACACCCACACCTCACACCCACACCCATACCACCCACACCCACACCCACCCACACCCACACACAGCCACACCCACACATAGCCACACCCACACCACACCCACACCCAC